CCCGCGGGCTTTTCCCCGTGCCCCCCGGTTTGGGGGGGGGGGGGGGGGATGCAGCTAGTGGGCCCCCCCCACCCCAAGCAGACCAGGCTTTTCTTGCCTCGGGCTCTGGAATCAGCTGCTGATCAGTTTCAGCAGCAGCTGACTTCGGGACGCTTGGGGTTCTTAAGTTGATTCTGTATGTAAGTCAGAACTGGCGGTCAGTGTCAGCAGCGGCTGAATCTGGATGCCAGTTCCGACTTGCATACAGATTCAACTTAAGAACAAACCTACAGTCCCTATCTTGTACGTAACCCGGGGACCGGGCTCTGGAATCAGCTGCTGATCAGTTTCAGCAGCAGCTGACTTCGGGACGCTTGGGGTTCTTAAGTTGATTCTGTATGTAAGTCAGAACTGGCGGTCAGTGTCAGCAGCGGCTGAATCTGGATGCCAGTTCCGACTTGCATACAGATTCAACTTAAGAACAAACCTACAGTCCCTATCTTGTACGTAACCCGGGGACTGCCTGTATATTGTTTAAATACATACTGTTCATGTTACTGGCTTTCTGTTATGATACCTCAGTTAAGACAAGTAACGTCTTTAATAATTATTACCTGTAGTGAAAGTCCAGAGTACATCAGGCACTTTTTCATCTATATTTCCCAGAATGACATAATTCATTCTGCAATGGCTTTAATTGTGAATTATCAGTAGCTGAGAATTAAGTTAATTAAATGTGAGTACCAATTCAATTTAATTTTAATTTCCAGTTTCGTATGACCTTACTATAAAGTGGTAGTAGTAATAGTAATAGGTTTTATTAAAATCCAGATCAGCTTATGTTTGCTCCTTTACCTGACATTCAGAGGCACACTAGAAGTTTAGATTGTAATTGCTTCTCCGATTAAGGCCAGTACTCTGTATTGGCCACTAATTTCATGAACTGGGTAATTTAATTAATCATGCTGTGAATTGGACAAGCACATAACATCAATAGACAAAAAAATTCTAAAATAATGTGAAGTACATCTTGAAAGTGATTGCTCTATGGACACTTTTCCACCTATTTGCAGTCGTGGGGACAGCCATGCCTCATGTTGATCATTTGGCATCTATAGCTATTGCTAACATGGAAAATTAATATTAGGCACACAATTCTATATTTTAGCTATCTTTTAGAGGAATATGGCAAGTAGAAATAGAGAAGTTGATACTTGTCACCAATCTGCTCTCCAAAGAAGGTGCTTTGTGCACCACTCGTGGTCTACAGATCAGCCTGGGGACCTCTCTTGTAGACAGTCTGGTCATTTGTTACTCTGAGTTGCATTAAAAGGTATCATTAAGTGCCAAATTCTGCCACTCTTATTCATGATGAATGGTACCTTACTCCATGAGCAGTCCCATTGGTTCCAACAGAATTGTTTGTGAAGTAAGGCACTAAACAGTGTGAATTAGGTTGGTAGAGTCCTGGCTCTATAATGAATAATATAGAAATAGTTATAGTCTTGTATGAAATAAAATACTACCAAGTTATTAGATTAGGATAGCTCCTGTCCGTATTTTAAAATATTTTTTCATTTTATCCTTTTGTTATTACAAAGATAATACTATAAAAGTAGGAAAAACATTCAAGTTCTGGTTTCAAAAAGCAGATCATCTAAACTTTTCTAAATGTTGCTGTTTTAATATATCTATTTTTCTATTTTTGTAGTCATTCTACAAAATCTGTAATGGACTTTGTCAATAGCAATGAAAATATTATATTTGTACACAACACGATCCACCTCATTTCCCAGATGGTAGACAATATTATCATTGCTTGTGGAGGGATTTTACCATTGTTGTCTGCAGCCACATCTCCAACAGTAAGTACAATATTTCCATCTAGTGGTCATGTTAAAAAATGCTGTTAAGAACAGTAACAGTGTTGTCTATGATTGCACATGTTTCAAAGAGCAGAATACAGAATTGATTTCTTCCAAAAGTTTTATCAATATCAGCCAAACTTTTTAAGGGTCAATATTTTAAGGGGCTACATTGCAAAGGAGGAAGGAAATGCAAAATTCAATTAAAGTAATAACAGCAATATTTTGCTCTGATTATTTCTCCTGAGGATCTAAAAAATTAAATAAGTTATACCTCAAATTCTCATGTAAGGAACTGAGAGTATTAATGACATTTTAAGGTGTGGAAAATGAGATGCAAATGAGTTGTGACTTCCCTAAAGTAATGCAGTGCAATTAATAGTGTGTAGAGGGTCCGGACTGCACTCTCACTTGGCCTCTGGACAACTCTCACTTCTTTACCTAGATTCTTTGTCACCAGTACTTATGTAACTAAAAATAGTTTTGTACTATTGTTCTATTAGCTGGAATAGGATAATAACTGGCTAAATAGAATCATGTGATACTGATTTAGACAGTGGATAAGCAGACCCTCAACACTAAAATATATTTTTCAAAACAAGCAATGAGGGCTTTATTGGAAAGTGAAGGTGTTTTATTTGATATACTCATATTGTATAAAATAAATCAGGCATCATTTGAATTACTTGTCTATATTTCCATCTGTGGATGTTTGTGACTCTAGCTTTGCTATAATTATTTAGGTTACTGCAAACCAGTTGATAAATCTTGAGCCTTGTAATTCAGAGTTGCCCTTTATTTATTGTATATAATACATGAACACCTGATAAAGCTTTAGAAATTGTCCTTATCTTTTGTATATTATTGTGTGCTTATATTGTAATACTCTAGTTTGCAATAATAAGATGTTCTTATGGTGATTTTGCTCTAGGTTCCACAAGATTTCAAAATTAAATGGTTGAATATTTAAAAAGAAACCATTTTCTTCAGTTAGATTATAGGTAGTGCACTTACAAAACATTCAATTTTGTCATCTTGTCAGGATAGTAAGAGGCAAAAAAAATTGTGCAACACACTTTTGTAATTAAAATGTAAGTAACTGATGTCCAATTTTGATATAATTGTGTATTGTGGATGAAAAACTAGTACTACTACATGTACTACTGTGGTTTCTTCTTTTTGGTTTGTATATGATGATTCTAAAATTGAAAAGCATCTAGATGATACATGCATGATGTATATTTAACCCCTGGACTTGGCACTTGTAAGTGGCTCAAGCTTTTCTCTTGAGCTGGAGGTTTTTTGTTTTTTTTTAATTAAAGAAAATCCTTTATAATACATCCTTATTATACATATGAGTATATTCATTTCTCAGTTGTGATATCTTTCTATATTTCAAGTTACTACACAATGAAATGGATTTAAAACTAAGGTTATAACTTTAAAGGAAATATTTGGGGACTGCAATACAGGAATTAAAATGCATTTCATGGTGAGGACTGGGAAGGAAACCAAGCTTGTGATTCATTAGGATAGCTTCACACTCTGTGACACTAGGAAATCCAAACAAACCCTACTGCTGAAATGCTATCCAAAATAAAAGTTGATCAGGTGGCACTGAGTGAAAAGTTGGGGAGTGGCAATGAATAATAGAGAACTTATCATGAAGTTGAGAGCTTCACAAACAAATAGGAGTAAAAACATAGCAGAATCTGGGTAGACATGGATGTGAAACTTGCTTCCCTCTGTTAGCATGTACATACATTGTAGATCACACTTAAGATATGTGCTTATTCAGTTTATCAAAAAGAATGAACTTATATGCTATATGTATTTTACTTCATTGTTCGTAACTCTATTTTTCAACCATATTTTTGACACACATCAAGACATGCATAGTACTCATTGAAAACTCTGCACCCATTTTGAAACTTTAAATATTAATATCACATGACTTCCTTCAAGAGATTTAACCCTCTGGTGTGGTACTTTTAATTTACACATTCCTTGAACACTGCTAGTGAATCTGACTCCCAGCGTATTTTATCATTTGACCAATGTAAAGAGAAACAAGAGTCATTGGGCAAAAAAAGAAAATGTAATACTTGTCATCCTATCTGATCATTAGCTTATGATGGAAAGAAAGGTAGTTAGTTGCTTTTCTAGCTTCATAGCAGTGATGTAGGCTTTTTTTAAAAATTTAGCTGTGTTTAATACAACACTTACCCAGTCTCAAAAAGAGAGAGTGGATGGTGTTTGCATGTAGTTCATTTATTGAACTCACAAACATTTCAGTCCTTTTGTAGATTCATGTTTCTCTTTGATTTGATTTATATGATGAATGTGACTTGAGTTTCTTAGCTCCTTTACAATCATGAATATTGTGCCTGTTACAAAAATCAGTTGTCAAGAACCTGATCTCTTGATTGTATCCTGGCGCTCTACAAATTATTCTTCCCTTGAGTTTAGCTACTATTTATAAAAGGGCAAAAAGGATATTTTTCACTCAACTGTTTCCCATTAGCAATGCAGGAGTTAAGCATTTAAAGCTTGAATTTCATTTAGGTCCTGAGCAGGAAGGAGCAAAGAAAAGAGCTGAAAAGATGACTTAAATGGTATTCACCCAAGAGTTCTGAAGGAACTCAAATGTGAAATTGCAGAACTACTAACTGTGGTATGTAAGCTATCATGTAAATTGTCTTCTGTAACAGATGACTGGAAAATACCTAATGTGGTGACAATTTTTAAATAGGGCTCCAGAGATGATCCCAGCAATTACAGCCCAGAAAGCCTAGCTTCAGTACTGGCCAAACTGGTTGAAACTAAATTTTAAAATAGCATTATCTTAGATGAATATGGTTTTTGTAAAGGGAAATCATGCCTCCTCAAATCTGTTAGAATTCTTTGAGGGTCTCCACAAGCATGTAGAAAAGGGTGATCCAGTGGACATAGTGTATTTAGATTTTCAGGAAGCCTTTGATAAGATCTCACCAAATGCTCTTAAACAAAGTAAGCTTTCATGGGATAAGAGGAAAGAGAGTCTCATGGTTCAGTAGCTGGTTAACAGATAGGACACACAAGGTAGGAATAGCCAGTTCTCAGAATGGAGAGAGGTAAGTAGTGGTGTCTCCTAGGCTGTGTCCAGACTCAGGGGTTTTTTCGGGAAAAGTAGCCTTTTTCCGAAAAAACTTCCCCTGCGTCCAGACTCAATTAAATCGAAAAAACGCGGCTTTTCTTTCGAAGGCGGTAAACCTCATTTCACGAGGAAGAACGCCTTCTTTCGAAAGTTCCTCTTTCGAAAGAAGGCGTTCTTCAATGTAAATAGGGCTTCTTCGAAAGAGAGCATCCAGACTCACTGGATGCTTTCTTTCGAAAAAGCAAGCCGCTTTTTCGAAAGTTCAACGTGCAGTCTAGACGCTCTCTTTCGAAAGAGGCTTGCAGTCTAGACATAGCCCTAGATGTCAACACTGGCACAAGTATTATTCAACAAATTCATAAATGATCTGAAAAAGAGGCAAGGCGAGGTGGCAAAAGATGATAGAAAATTATTCAAGGTAATTAAATATGAAGTTGATGATGTAGAATTACAAAGACATCTCACAAACCTGGGTGACTGGGCAACAAAATGGCAGCTGAAATTCAAAGTAATATAGTTTGGAAAACTTAATCCCAACTACAGTATACATATATCTTGATGAGAGTCTAAATTAGCTGTTACCATTCAAGAAAGGGATCTTGAAGTCACTGGATGGTTGTCTGACAACATCTACTCAATTTGCAGCAGCAGTCAAAAAGCTAACAGAATATTGGGAATCATTAAAAACAGGAATGGATTATATCAGAAAATATTGTATTGCCTCTGTATAAATCTGTGGTCCACCCATATTTTGAATACTGTATTCAGATGTTGTCCTCCCATCTCCCAAATGATATATTGGAATAGGAAAAGGTTCAGAAAAGGGCAACAAAATTATTAGGGTCATGCAACCTGTTCTATCTGAGAGGGGAGACTCTTCAGCTTGGAAGAGAGACAGCTTAGGGGAGATATGATAGAACTCTATAAATTAATGACTGGTATGAAGAAAGTACATAGGGAAGTGTTACATTGTCCTCATAACACAAGAACTAGGGGTACGTCTAAACTACATGGCTCCATCGACGGAGCCATGTAGATTTGTTTGATTGGCAAAGGGAAATGAAGCCGCAATTTAAATAATCGCAGCTTCATTTAAATTTAAATGGCTGCTGCGCTGAGCCGACAAACTGCTGATCAGCTGTTTGTCAGCTCCACGTGCTAGTCTGAACACTCCCCTGCCAACATGAAAGCCCTTTATCGACTTCCCCGGTAAACCTCATCCTACGAGGCATAATGGAGAGGTCGATAAAGGGCTTTCAGGTTGGCGTGGGAGCATCCAGACTAGCGCGCTGATCAGCTGTTTGTCGGCTCAGCGCGGCAGCCCTTTAAATTTAAATGAAGCCGCGATTATTTAAATGGCGGCTTCCTTTCCCCCTAATCTACATGGCTCCATTAATGGAGCCATGTAGTTTAGATATACCCTAGTAGTCACCAAATGAAATTAATAAGCAGCAGGTTTAAAATAAAGGAAGTGTTTCTTCACACAACGTGCAGTCAGCCTATGAAACTTTGCCAGAGGTGGTTGTGAAGGTTAAGACTATACGAGTTAAAAATATAAACTAGATAAATTAATGGGGGATAGGCCAATCAGTGGCTATTAGTGAGGATTGGGTGGGGCAGTGTCACTAGCCTCTATTTACCAGAAACTGAGAATGGGTGATGGGATGGATCACTTGACGATAACCGGTTTTGTTAATTTTCTTTGAAGTACCTGGCATTGGACTCAGTTAGAAGGCAAAGTATTGGGCTAGATGGGCTTTTGGTCTGACAGAGTATGGCCATCCTTATGTTCCGGGAAAAATTTTGGGGTCAGCAGATTGTCAGTATACCAAACACTCTTTTGTTGGAAAACTCCAAATCACCA